CCTTCCCCCCCCCCGCAGCGACTCGGACGCGTCTGCCTGCCCCCACCCACCCACCCTCCGGCCCGGCCCCTGCCCTGCTGCCCGCCCCCGCCGGACATCCATCGTCTGGCTCCCCTACTAACCTCCCCCTCTTCCCCAGCCTCCCCTGACCTGCCCTGCCCGCTTTTATTTATTTTGGATTAGCCAGTTGCCCCCCACCGCCCCCGGTTCTCCCCTCCCCTGTCGGGTCTGCACCCCGCTCTCCTTGCCGCGCCCCCCTAGGACTCCCGAGAAGGCTTTTGTATTTGTGCATAGCTAGAGTGAGGGCGGCTCACCCCGAAAACCCAGTGTGGGAACGAGGGAAGAGAAGGGCTCACCTGGAGCCACTGCTGGAAAGGAATTAACTCTCCAAAGTTCTCCCCCTGCCCCCTACCTAGTCGGGCCTTCATGGTTTCTGCCCTGAGCCCCTCCGTAAGTGGGCATCGGGCGGGGGGGCACTTTGGGAAGGGGCGGACCCCAGGGGAAAGCAAAGGGCTTCTCAGGGAACCCCCAAATTCTCTCACTGAAGTTCCCCACCAGGATGGTCCCGTGGCCAGAGCCCCTTGGCTGCCCCGAGCCCCCCGAGCCCCCTTCAAAGGAAAAGGAGGCTCAGGTTGTGACTCTTCATGAACAGCGAGTGACCAGGCTGGCGTGGCAGGGCTGAGGCCCCCCGCTGCCGTCGTCCCCCCTCTCTGTGTCCTCTCCCCCAGGTCTGAGGCTGGGGTCCTAAGCTCCCTTCCGCATTATAGTCCCTGCCTGTGAAAACCCCCTTTGGAGAGTTAATTGTCTGTGTGAGGTGCTTAACCTATTAGCCCTGAGAACACAAAGCAATAATCTTTGTTACCGAGATGCGCGGCTGTTTGTGTTTTTTTGTTTTTTTTTTCGTTGTTTTTTTAAATGTTTCCTAATAAAAGAGAAGCTGCATTTTATTGGTTTTTATTTTTAATTTTCTACACATTTGAGCTGAGTCATAAGAGACTTAGCTTCCCTCTCCTCCCCTTTCTGTGATTCCCCCACCCCACTGGGCCCATCCATGGGCTCAGGGCCCTGGAATTCCGTTTTCTGATTTGTTTGGGAAATTTTTTTAAAAGATGTTACACGGTGTTTCGAAGCCAGCAAGTTACCACCCTCCGGTGTCTCTTCTCTCCACATCTGTAACTTCTTTTTCCAGGTTTTATTTTCAGTTTTAAATTCCTAATAAATTATTTGAAAACGGGCCTGAGCTTGTGAGTGTCTTGCATCTCTCTGTGCGTTCAGGTCTAGGTATCCCAACGATACCCTGTTTTCCCTTAACTTCTCCTATTTTCCTCCTGGAATCATCTTCACTTTCCACTCGACCCAGCTCCCATCTCCAACTTCATCAGCCTCATAAGCTTAGTGTTGATGCTGAGATACCACTTCACACCCATTAGGATGGCCATCACCAAAAAAACAGAAAAAAACAAATGTTGGTGAGGATGTGGAGAAATTGGAACCCCTGCGCCTTGCTAGTAGGAATATATAAATATAAATTGGAACCCCTGTGCCTTGCTAGTAGGCACAGCTACTATGGAAGATAGTTTGGTGGTTCTTCAAAAAGCTAAACACTGAATTACGATCCAACAATTCCACTCCTGGGTATACACCCAAAGGAATTGAAAGCAGGGACTCAGATACTTGTACACCAATGTTCATAGCAGCATTATTCACAATAGCCAAAAGGTGGAAAACAATCTAAGTATCCATCAACAGATGAAATGGATAAACATGGTCTTTCCATACAGTGGAATATTATTCAGCCATGAAAAGGAATGAAGTACTGATACATGCTACAACATGGATGAACCTTGAAGAATTATGCTAAGGGAAAGAAGCCAGACACAAAAGGACAAATACTGTATGATTCCACACATCTGAGGTACCGAGAATTGGCAAATTCATAGAGACAGAATGGGAGTAGGGAGTTATTCCTTAGTGGTTACAGAGTTTCTGTTTGGGATAATGAAAATGTTTTACAAATAGGTAGTGCACAACATTGTGAATATAATTAATGCCACTGATTGTACACTGAAAAGTAGCAAATGGGTGAGGGGCTGTAAAAAAATGGTAAATTTTGTTATGTACATTTTACCACTTATTTTTTAAGCTTGGCATCGGACCCCTTGCTCTGGTTTGCCTTTAACTCGGAGAATCCTAAGAGGGTAAGGTGGGAAAAGCAGCTCAGGTGGAGGTTGGTATCGCCAAATGGTTAGATGTGGGGTTTCCAACACCTGGCTCCTCCCCTTCTCTGAGCTTCCTCTGCCTCTCTGAGCCTCAAGTTCCTCATCTATTAAAGGGAATGATAAAGAAGCCAGACATAAAAGGCCACGTATTATAAGATTCCATTTATATGAAATATCGAGGAGCCACAGAGTTAGAAAACAGATTTGTTGGGGCTGGAGGGAGGGAGGCAATGGGGAGTAAATGCTTAATGGTTAAGGGATTTCCTCTGGGGTGATGGAAATATTTTGGAACTAGAGGCGGTGGTGGCATGACATTGTGGATGTGCTAAAAGCCACTGAATGGCTCATTTTTAAAAAAACTATTAATTAATTTTATTTATTTATTTATTTTGCGGTACGCGGGCCTCTTACTGTTGTAGCCTCTCTCGCCGCGGAGCACAGGCTCCGAACGCGCAGGCTCAGCAGCCATGGCTCACACGCCCAGCCGCTCCGCGGCATGTGGGATCTTCCCGGACCGGGGCACGAACCCGTGTGGGATCTTCCCGGACCGGGGCACGAACCCGTGTCCCCTGCATTGGCAGGCGGACCCTCAAGCACTGCGCCACCAGGGAAGCCCATTAATTAATTTATTTTTGGCTGGGTTGGCTCTTCGTTGCTGCCCGCGGGCTTTCTCTAGTTGCGGCAAGCGGGGGCTACTCTTCGTTGCGGTGCGCGGGCTTCTCATTGCGGTGGCTTCTCTTGTTACAGAGCACGGGACTCTAGGCACGCGGACTTCAACAGGTGTGGCTCGCGGGCTCTAGAGCGCAGGCTCAGTAGTTGTGGCGCACCGGCTTAGTTACTCCGCGGCATGTGGTATCTTCCTGGAGTAGGGCTTGAACCTGTGTCCCCTGCGTTGGCAGGTGGATTCTTAACCACTGCACCACCAGGGAGGTCCCAATTGCTCACTTTTAAATGGTTATTTTTATGTTATGGGAATTTCACTTCAAAAAATTTAAAAAGAGAACCATAAGAGTATCTGGGGTGGTTGTTAATTAAACGGGGAGGGCTGACAGGATCCAACACCAGGCAAGGCACAAAGTAACTGGTTGGTAAACGGTAGCTGCTATTAATCCCAGGCTGCCCCAGGTGCCTGGAAATGCATAATTGGGGCTCAGCAATGGCCGCCCCCTCCCGAGTGGGACTGACAGCTGCGGTTCACACACTGCGGTTCCCTTAGTGTCTACTGTGCACAAGTCAC